CGAAATGGGGGCTGGCTAGCGCAACTGGCGCATTTTAAATTTATGCAGCCAGTCCCGAGGAGCTGGCACATTTTGTTGTTTGCAGTGCTTGCCACACACAGATGTGTGCATACATTAACAAAAGGTTTTGGTCCTTTCGTCCTGCAGCTGCCTGTGTTTCGCATGGCAAAGTTGCTTTGTTGCCCTCCTCTGCTTAATATGCAGGATTTTGTTATTAATATTCAATTAAAAGGCTTCAGCTGGAGTGGCCTAAAACGGACAGTGGGCGGGGGCGGGTGCGGGGGCGGGAAAGGTGGGCGGTGAGGCGTTGGATTCAGTGGGCGTGACCATTGGCAAGTGCGAAGGCGGCGCGAAAAGTTTTGCTTAGCTCCCCGATGCTTTTTCCTCTTTCCTTTAGGATTTCCTTTTGGGGACCCCCCTCCCCCACCCCCAAAAAAAATTGATGAATTTATTGGCCGAGCCACGCCCCCTGCCCCTCGACGCCCCCGACTAATTTATAGCCGCTACTGATGAGCGGACAGAAGAAGAAGCAGAAGAAGTCCAAGTGGCACCAGCTGAGCAACATAAATTTGATTACGATTTTTCCTTACTTTTCTTTCTCTTCTCATTGGCAGTGGGAACAGTCACGTGTCCCTAACTGTGCACAGTTCTTGCTTTGCAGCAAAATTGAAGACTAGTCCTAAACTATAAATAGCTGGGAATATGTTTAAACTTCATTTTGTTTAAATATTTTTCACACTACATCTTTAAGTTAGTCGCTTTGTGTAAGTAAACTGCCGCCAACTCAAATAAAAAAGGATAATAAACACATGACAATCCAGCAAGTACGTCTGTGTGTGTGTAGATGTGTGTGTGTGTAGGAGTGTGTGTTAATTTGCTCCAACGTGCTGGTGTGTGTGTGTGTGTGTGGCGTAGTTTTCCAACGAGGAGGAAAAACTTTTGTTTACCCCATGCTAATGCTGGGAATGAAAGATATTTCCAGCGAAAATTCCTTCGTGAGGGATCTAATTAACATAATGTTGGGAACACACCCTTCCCCTCCCCTTCTCCACCCACTCCTGTTTTCTTTTTTTTTCTTTTTTCCGAGCGTCTCTATGACACTGCACTTGTGTGGGTGTAGGTGTGTGTCGGTGTATTTACTTGTGTGTGTCATTAGCGTTTTCGTGGCATGTGTTTTTCCGCTCTTCCTGCCGCCGGTTTAAGTTGCCGTATTACACAACAAGAAAAACTGCGCTGCATTACTAACAATCCTTACGCATGTCTTTCGGTGTAAGAAATCCATTATATCAGTTTCAATACGCATGTAAGATTCATTTTGAATTAATCCATTTATTTTCTCCATCAGTTTCGTGTCATTTTTTTTATTGACTAGGGTAAATCATATAATTTTTCACAGAATTCCAAAATTACTTGGCTAGTTTTTCTTGAACCTGTCCTCTTCTGTCCGCAGCATATAGCTGTCTCTGTCGCTTTTCCTTTTTCTGGTGGCATTTTCAGCACGTGCGTTCTCGACAATAACAACAAAAAGAATAGTACCTAAACTAAACCAAACTCAAGTAGCTACAATGGCAAGAACAACACGAACGCCGACAGTCAGCAATTACAATAAACAAAACAAAACGCAGCGAATTCTGGAAAATGGATGAAAACGGTGGGGTGAGGGGAAGGAAAGGGGGTGTGAGAAAAAGACACAGAAACGGAAAGGAATTGGGTTACTCGTGCAGGGGAAACGACGAGGTGGGGTCTCGAAAAATGTACAATGCCTGTGATTATGGTTGTTGTATTTCGAAAAAGTACAGTCAGCAGGCAATTAACGCAAAATATGCGCATTAAGTGCGATTCTCCAACACTGCATTTATTTGTTTGTTCAACGATTATGGAACACTGAGCGCGTAAATTATGCAATGCAAATAAAAAAGGCCGCACATTTTACTCAAACTAAAACATTTCGATAACAGCTTGAGGTGAATAAACCTTGATATTTTCCCAGCTCCACATCACATATACATGTACATGTAGCACTAGACAATCGTAGTGATTATAGTAATTCATGATCTTAAGGACAATAAAAACCAAGTGACACAGCGATGGCAGACCGAAAGTAATTTTAATGTCTCGCCTGGAAGTACGTAAAAGCTAAAGTCGGTATGTCGGTGGCTACTGGAAGAAGAAAGCTCCAAACCTCCGGCTCCCAAGCACGCAAAAGAAAATGGGAAAATGACGGGGGAGTGGGGTGAGTTGGGGGAGTGGGGGAAGGGGGCTTGGGGGCTAGAGACTATTGGGGAAGTGGTTTTTACTATCCAACGAGAGAATCTACCGCAACTAAAAACAAAAGTTATGTGTGCACGAAAAATCATGTCCAGTCATTTCCTGTACAACTTTGGCCAAAGGACCCATGGGGTCCTGCCACACAGTTATGGTCGAGAGGGGGCTTGGGGGGTTTGGGGGGCTACAAACCCCCTCCACTCAAGCAAAGCGGCTTTCGTTCGCTGGCCTTTTATGGTCATAAAAATTTTATTATAATTTTTAATAATTTAGGCAAGCATATTGCTGCCAGCGAAGCGAACCAGTAGCTATCCAAAGTTTTTCCACAGTTTTCCTTTGCCTCTTGTCCAAGCCCCACCCCTCTTGCCCTTCTTCTCATCCTCCTTTATCACCTGGCATATACGCACGCCGGGCATTTCCGGCTCTATATATGCGCCGACTCTACTGGAGAACGGACAAAATACGGACGGACAGACGGACTAACGGACAGACGGACATGGCTACGGACAGTGGAGCACAGTAGTCGCAGTCAAAGTGCAAATGCCGTAAATCATGGCGCTGGTAAACAAGCAACAGAGCCACACAGAAAACATGGCGCAAATGGTCGAAGAGGTGCCATATAGCACCTGCAAATATCCTGTAAAACTCTGAAGCACTGCACAAGTGCAAGTTGTAGGCACTTTTTGCTAGTTAACCCTTCAATTATAAACTATAATCACGAAGTGTTTAATGTTGAATATAGGGCAAATACAATTTGGCCAAAACTATATACTACAAGTTTGAAATACCCTGCCATTTCCAGCAGGGTATCAACAGGAAGAGAAGGCGCAGAAAATAGCAAAAGGATAGCCGTATAGCTATAGCCCCAGCTAAAGCGATAGTGATACGGATTGTTCGGATATATGTGCGATATATGCTGTCTTTCGGCGCGTTTCGTTGGCGTTTTAAACGCGTTTTGAGCTACGTTTTTTTTTCTTTGTTTTCCGCGCTTTTCCATTTTCCGTTCCATTGTTTCCCTTTTTACGTGCTTGTTTTCTTGTTTTTTGGCCACGCGTAGGTGGTGCCAATTTGATGAAATCGTTAGCATTACCCATGGTTAGATGTAGACGAGGCGAAAAATGGGTGAAAAACTGGTCGCTTTTCCACTGTTTCAAGGATGTGGCAAAACCAAAACAAGTTGGGAAAATGTCTCACGTGCGCACTCGATAAGGAGTTCAAAATGAAACTTATTTCGCACATGCACAAACCAATTTAACTTGTTTATTTTCACAAGTGCGAAACTTTTTAATTCCCAACAACCAAATTTATACTTTTACTTTAAATATGCTGTGGCTAGTACCGATTTTTTTTCAGCCACAAAAGGGGAAAAAATGAAGCGAAGAAAAATACGAATGGCAAACAAAAGCCGCAAATGCCAAGGCCAAACACCCACTGACATGGGAATGAAAAGGAAAACTGGAGGGGCGGTCCTATCCCATATGTCATACATATGTTTGGCGGCCTGTTTGTTTATGGGGGCCGCATTCAGTCGAGGAAATGTACACAAAGCCAACGGAAAGTACAAAAAAAATGAAATAGACGACAAAAAAGTGTGAAAAAACGCGTTACAAAATCGCTGGGAAAAAACTCCATAATGCGAAAATGCGTGCCAAGTTCGCAACGAATTTCAGTAGTGATATTTCATGTGGTAAGATTCAACTCAAAGAACACAGGAATCTATCAGAAATTTATACAATATAAAATTCGTTAAGAAATTGATTACCCTACACTGAAAGGGATATATATGTTTATTCGTATACAAAGTGCTACTAAATTAATCTCGAGCTGTGAGTAATTGAATAAAGTAAATACGATTAGGCACCGATTTGTCATTCGGAAGTGGGTTTGTCTGATTATCTCTCGAATTTTTGTATAGTGTATGGGATACTCTGAATTGTACTCGTATGTATACGTTTTGTTTTCAGGGTATCAGCGATTTAAGCATGTCTTCTAATTTAGAGTCACAAAATATTACAAGTAATCTCTCTTACCGGTCGAGCAGTGAGTGTAGTGTATGTGTAGTAGGGTTGTTGATAATATATAAAAATATCAACATATCAAACTTGGAAAATACACGTTTGTAATATTGTAATATTGTGTATTTCTAGGGTCATTCGTTTGTTTCTTTCGGTGCACGAATGCAGTTACACGTACAGCTTAGCGGCAGTTGCAGTTGCAGTTGCAGTTGCATGCGCACTCTGCTGCAGTTGACGGCAAAAGACCAGACAACTGACAACGCCACATATTCCGCACCGTAATACCACAGTATTTTCTTCTTTTTCTTTCCTTTTTTTCCATCCTGCACACTCTGCCCTTTCATTTGGCTTAAACTTGACCCACAAAATGCATTTTATTGCATTCGTTTGCCATGCGAGAAGTAAAAGATGGCAAAGGCGAAAAAAGCGAAAAGTGGGTTGGGGATTTTAAACAGTCGGATCTCCTTTGCAAGCGACTGGCTTGTAATTATTTTTTATACAGCATCAGCTTCCATACGGATGGCATTCATTGCGCAACTGAAAGCTGTAATTCAATTAACGATAGGCCATAAATAGCGAAAAACAAAAAATGCGGGGCTTTGCGAAGAATTTTACATAAGTTTAAGTGCTGTACGCAATGCATGACTATTTTTCGCCCATTCCAGGTGTTGAAAGTATAATGTGAACTAACTTTTCTATTTTGGTTTCTATTTCTTGCAGCTGAGTTAACAATTTGCGGCCGAAAATGCAGAGAATGCGCAGCAGTCGCCTGCTGGTGCTGCCACTGATCCTTGTGCTGATCCTGACGCTGCTCCTCCAACCGACTGCCGTCCACGCCAAGTCCAAGAAGAACAAGTCCAGCCAGAGCTCGCACCATGGTGACTCCTCCTCCTCCTCCTCCTCGTCGAGTGGCTCCTCCTCATCGGCGGCGGCAGCAGGTTCGTCCGCGAATGATGAGAGCAAGGCGAAGGGTGGCGACAATGGAGGCCAGCACTTTGCCATGGAGCCGCAGGATCAGACGGCCGTCGTTGGTTCCCGAGTGACGTTGCCCTGCCGGGTGATGGAGAAGGTGGGCGCGCTCCAGTGGACAAAAGATGACTTTGGACTGGGCCAGCATCGCAATCTCAGCGGCTTCGAGCGCTACTCGATGGTGGGCAGTGACGAGGAGGGCGACTTCTCGCTGGACATCTACCCGCTGATGCTGGACGACGATGCCAAGTATCAGTGCCAAGTGGGTCCAGGTCCCCAGGGCGAACAGGGTATACGTTCGCGTTTCGCCAAGCTAACCGTACTTGTGCCGCCCGAGGCGCCCAAAATTACGCAAGGCGACTACCTGGTGACCACCGAAGACCGCGAAATTGAATTGGAATGCGTATCGCAGGGTGGCAAGCCAGCTGCCGAAATCACCTGGATCGATGGGCTGGGCAATGTGCTAACCAAGGGCATTGAATATGTGAAGGAGCCACTGGCCGATTCGCGTCGCATCACAGCCAGATCGATACTAAAACTGGCGCCCAAGAAGGAGCATCACAACACAACGTTCACGTGCCAGGCACAAAACACTGCCGATCGCACCTACAGATCGGCGAAACTCCTGCTCGAGGTCAAGTACGCGCCCAAGGTCACCGTTTCGGTGGTGGGCGGTGCACTGGCGGGTGGCAAAATTCCCGAGGGCGCCGAGGTGATACTAAGCTGCCAGGCCGATGCCAATCCGCACGAGCTCAGCTACCGTTGGTTCATCAACGATGAGCTCATGACCGGCGACTTTACCACCAAGATGGTAAGCCCACCCGCACACTATATTCCAGGCAAATAGCACCTATAAGTGATTCCTTGATTCTTGATTCCCTTTTTCCAGATCATTCACAATGTGTCGCGGCAGTACCACGACGCCAGTGTCAAGTGCGAGGTGGTCAATGCGGTGGGCAAGAGCGAGCAGAGCAAGAAGCTGGACATAAGTTGTAAGTATCAGTGTGTGCTGTCAGGCCCAGTTAATCCAACGTTCTTTTCCCGCCTAGTTGGCCCAGTGTTCCGCCAGCGCCCCGTGAGTGTGGAGGCCGATCTGGGCGCCACGGTGAGCATGCGTTGCGATGTGGCTGGCAATCCGGAGCCCGAAATTGAGTGGATCAGCGAGAATTCCGACCAGGTGCGTAGCAACCCGCCAATGGGCAGATTTCCACATGGTATCCACATGGTATCTAATTGGCAACCATCTGTTGCAGGTCGTCGGCGTTGCAGCGGAACTGAAACTGAAGGTGAGCAGCGAAACGGCCGGACGCTACTTCTGCAAGGCGGTGGTGAACGGATTTCCCGAAATCGGCGCGGAGGCAACGCTCTACGTGAAACGTGCCCCAATCATCACCTCGCACAAGGTGCAATTTGGCGGCGTTGGCGGTCGCGTGAAGATCGATTGCCTGGCCTTTAGCATACCCAAGGCAGAGCACATACTCTGGTCGTTCGAGGGCAAGATCATCAATATGAGCAGCGCCGATCCGGACATCTATATATTCGAGGAGCATCACTTGCCGGAGGGTGTGCGTGCGGCCCTAATTATACGCGACAGCAAGGCCACGCATTTTGGCAAATACAATTGCACTGTGATGAATTCGTACGGCGGCGATTCGTTGGTCATAACACTGCTGCGTGAGCCGGGCAACATACCCGTGCTGCTGGTCGTCATGGGCTCCATGTTCTGTGTGGCCATCATACTGATGATCGTGATGATCATCATCGTGTACCGCAAACGGCGTAGCCGCAAGAAGCCCATGCCGGCGGATGTGATACCAGAGGCATCGCGCGGCGCTGATAAGCTAAACGAACTGAAGAGCGAGCTGCGCTCGAAGGCCTATGACGTGGAGTACTCGGAGGCGGGCGGCGATGGCCTGGCCATTAATCTCACCCAATCACCCATGCCCGATGTCCAGATGAAGGGCGCCACACTGGGCGTGCCGCTTGCGGGGCCGGTGAAGTTCGATGAGCGCTTTTCGGGCGACTTTGGCGGCGATCGCTACAATCGCCAGTGCCACATCAAGAACCTAAAGAACCAGCAGGAGACCGCCTACAAGGGCAGTCCGCAGGCCAATGGCTATGCCCACTACTTTGAGTACGCCCTCGACTACAGTGCGCCGGGTGAGGCGGCTGCTGCTGCTGCCGCTGCTGCTGTGGTGGTCGGCGGCGGCAAGGTCAAGAACGGTGGCATGAACTCGGCCACGCTGCCGCACACGGCGGCCACCTTGAATGGGGGCGGCGCTGGCGGCGGCGGCGGCGGCGGGGGCGGGGCCAGTTTGCCGCGCAACCAGCGTCACGAAATTCAACAGTCGCCACAGCAGGCAAACGGATTTCTCGGTGAGTGTTATTTGCATACTCTAATTTACAAACGCCTGGTTGAGCAATGCAAAACTAATGTGTCTTCTCGACTTTCGCAGGACAACCGCTGCTGCAAAACGGCATCGACAGTCGTTTTAGCGCCATCTACGGTAATCCCTATCTAAGGACGAACTCCTCGCTGCTGCCGCCGCTCCCGCCGCCGAGCACCGCCAATCCGGCGGCCACGCCCGCCCCGCCCCCCTATCATGCCGCCCGCCACGGCCATGCCCACCACGCCAATGGCGGACTCAAGCATTTTGTGGGCGGGGCCGTCATCACCACCAGTCCCGTTGGAAATGTGAACGCAAACGGCGGCGGCTCGACACCCAGCGGCATTGGGGGCGTGGCAGCGGGCGGCAGCGTCAGCGGCAGCAGTTCCAATTTGACCGCCAGCAGCAACACACTGGCGGCCACGCCCCTGGCGGGCGGGGGCGGCGGCAACGGCGGTCAGTGTGCCCAGAGTCCGTCCGGCCAGTTCATACTGTCCAACAATGGGAAAGGACACACGCAGAAAGGACCTCTGGCCACCCACGTCTAAACTAGAGCATTCGCCGAAGAATCCGACGGGAAGAAGGATATATATATAGATATATCTATATCAGAGAAAGAGAGAGAGAGAGAGCGGACAGTAGCATAACTCATAAATGTATTAAAGCGCAGAACTTCTAGTGTGTAAACTTTTTTTTGTCCATCGATATTAGCGTAATTCTGGTTCGAGTGGCGTGGCAAAGGTCTTGATAACTTCGATATATAACTGTCTTGGCTGAAATTTGAGCACTAAGCATGTTAACTTCTTTCGTTTTGTACATGTTCTATCTAACAGACCCGAAGAAAATGAAGTTCAACACCCTTGAGTAAAACGTAACCATGCAAATATGTGTAAAAACCAAGCAAAAAACAAAAAATTGAAGAAGAAAACAAAAACCGTATTGTGATTTATAGCGTTAATTATTTTATGGCTGAGCTCGATGAGTTTCGGCCACCGCAAATTATATCAACTAGTGCAAATCTAAAGCTACTTATCGAGTAAAAAAAAATCGTATATCAATTAAACACGAAACGTATCGAACAGAAATGAAACAAAAAAACAAAAACATATAACATATATGCGTATACATAAACATAAACCAACTACAAAACTTGAAAAGTTCATTTTAAAAACAGCGTGTTGCAAACAATTTTAAACAAAACCGAAAATCAATTCAATTATACACATTGTAAAACCAAAAGCCTGTAGTTAGTTTGAAGTAAAATGGAAGAAAAAAAGCTAACAAAAAAGTTAAGTAAATGCAAAAGCAGCAAGCAAAACAATTTTCTAAGCCAAAATTTATCAAATTTTTAGACTTAATTACGTATACATCAAACGAAACAAAATGAATGCAGTGAGAGAAACTTTTAGCGAGTAAGTGCTGTGTTTGAACTGTGACCCGATCAAGAAGAGCCAAAAAATTCCAAAAATACATATACATATGTACAAGTACAATTATGTACAATTGAATATCCGCCATTACTTTGCACAAATCACTCAAATTGAATTGAAATCTATATATTTTTCGTACGGCATGCTACAGTATTATACCAATTGAAAAATCCCCAAGCAGTAAATAACACTAGTACCAACTTTTCAACTTGATCGGGTTCCCAGGATCTCGGCATTCAGCATCCATGTGAAAACTTGAATATTTTTTTGTCTAGCCGTAAGCGAGTAAATGATATTTGAACTTAAATCAATTATGTAAAGAAGCAAATGAATTATTGTATATCGTATATATAGAGCATAAATGTGTATGTCAAACGCTTAAATTAAATGACTAGCTAAGATTAGAGAGAATGTTTGTAATATTAATTGGTTTTTTTTTTTTTTTGGTCTGCCTAGTGTTTTAAGCCTATTTATAGACGTAAATGCAACGTACATGTAAACAATTTTAATGGTAACAACTTAAAAAAAAGCTTAGCAACAATTTGTAAAACATTTGAGCGATCTACCAAAAAAAAAAAAAAAACGAAAAAACAAAAAAAACACGCAAGTAAGTGTGAAGCGTAAAATTTTTAACACGAAATGCTGCCTTATGATTCCTCGTTGGGTTCTTAATTCACTAAGCCAATACTGTAATTATTTAATTCATTGTTTCCTTTACTTTTCCTTGTTCTTTTTTTGTGGGAACATACATATACACAAATATACATACACATATGTATCTAGAGTAATTGAGAAAATGCTTTAAATGTTCTTCGTTTACCCTGATTTATTCACTCGAATCGAATTCTATTCTTTACGTGGGCTAATTGCGCAGAGCTTTTTTAACTGGGATAAAGTTCCGAAAATCGGAGTTAAAAATGGTGTTACATTTTTTCGATAATTGTCAAGCGATTCAATTAAGAGTTCAATTATATAGACGTTACAAGAAACGAAAGTAATTTCAAATGAAATCCTATTAAGCCAACTAAAGTATGATAAATGCAGAACGCTGCGAAAATGAAAATGCGAAAATGGTTCGGAAAATGAAAACTAAGAACGTGTTGCGTGGAAAAGGAAAAGTACGAAAATCTAACTTAAGTCGAGAACAACTCAAATTAGTTGAAATACAGATACGAGAAAAAACGAAATGAAAATAAAATACTTAAAAATGCTACAGCACGTTTTTCAATTCGCTATAAAAGCTATGGTATTATTCACTTTTTTCCAGTGCCTGCAAACATACTTTGTCAAATTACACGCATTTTACATGTATACATGCACTTACATGTATCTTACCTATCTACATGTAGCAAAAGTGAAACCACGCTAAGCAGTGGTTCGGAGCTCGGCTAATGTTATTTATGCACCCACCGATCTCGAGCGCGCCGCCAAAATGGCTCCACGCAAACGGTATCTTTTCCTCGCCGCAACACGGTCACACCGCCGCTTTGGAAACAGATCGCCTTTTTCCAGTGGACGAAACGGTTGTGAAAGCGGACGAGAGCGTAAAGGCGGACGAATCTGGAAAGCGCAGAGCAGAGTTCTCAGCTGAATTATTTTTTTTTTGGAAGTGAGTGCAACGCGCAGCATACAGGATATACAAACAAATCACATCGCATCGAATCGAATCGAATCAAATGAAATGAAAAGGATGGCCACAGCGAGAAAGCCGTTCTGCAAGGAGTGCCTTCCGCAGGGATAGGAAAGAGAGAGAGAGAGAAACAAGGATTTTCGACAAAGTGTATCTACCTCGAGTCGCGTGTGTGTGAGTGAGAAGGAAGCCGAGTGCAAGCAGAGCAAGAGCAAGAGAGCAATACGCAAGCGTGCGGCGTCGGTTTGAATTTGAATTTGTGCTCGCGATCCTCACAAGCAAAAAGCAAGAAAAGCGTTTTTTTTGCCCATTTTTTTATGTTTGAAAACGGAAAATGTCGCCGTCGTCGGGAGAGTGCCTCCTCTTATTTGATCACATAAAGCTTTAAAGTCAGCAGTTCAAAACTATACAAAACAAAAAAACGCGCTTAAACATAACGAATTGCTTAAATAGAGACTAACATACAATACGCGCAGTAAGAAAAAAGAAATATCCTCAAAGAGAGACCAAAGAGGAGCGCTAAAGAAACGGAAGAAGCGAGAAGAGGTGAAAAACTGGAAAAGTGGTTAACTGGAAAACTGGATTACAATGCAATCGCAGCGCAGCCGACGTCGCAGTCGCGCACCAAACACTTGGATTTGTTGTTGGATTAACAAAATGCACGCCGTTGCGTCGCTGCCGGCGTCGCTGTCACTGCTGCTGCTGACGCTGGCGTTTGCGAATTTGCCAAACACCGTCCGCGGAACTGGTGAGTAAAGCGTAGACGCCGATCAGAACGAGGGGACAAAAAATGGGGTGGGTGCAGAGAAACAGGAATTCCAGGGCTCAAAACGATCCATGGAGTTGCTAAAAAACGGTTTTTTAATAAAACCCAAACTATGAAATCAGATGTTTTAGAGGTTTTTACAGAACCGAAACTATGAAATTAAATGTTTTAGAGGTTTTTACAGAACCAAAACTATGAAATTCCATGTTTTTGAGATTTTTACAGAACTCAAACTAAAAAAATTAAATGTTTTAGAGGTTTTTACAGAACCCAAACTCGAAATTAGATGTTTTAGAGGTTTTACAGATAATAATAGAGGTTTTACTCAACTATAAGCTGAAATGATCTTGTATCGCTGGAAGATGTGGATCCTAACTATTGATGCTAAATCTTATAGAACTTACTAGTATTCTATTTAGCGTTGGCTTTCCGTGTTCCCTTTCCAAAAAGTTCGAATCAGCCAAGATTGCACTTACAAAATATACTTGCAAACTGGACTAGTTCCGCTTAAACCAGTTGCATATATCCAAATTACATTGCACACCTAGGAAATGTTGGTCCATTAAATCGGATGCATTCGCAAGTGACTAAGTGACCAAGCAATCCATGCAGCTTTTATCCAAAATAAAAGAGGGGTATGGATGGTGCGCTACTTAATCGGTTAGCTGTATAGTTTCTGTTCTTAGATTTTAGATAGTAAACCCATAGATAGTAGGGAGTAGTATACCCATAGAGAATAGTAGAGTAGAAAATCCTAGCTTAAAAGAATCATCGAAATCCCGTTGAAACAGCTCCAAATGCGTTCTCTCTGTGTGTTTCTTGCACTCCCTTTTTGGACCCTCTTTGTCCGTCTCCCTTTTGGGCAGCTCCTACTTCTTCGCCTTGCCTTGCGTGGCTTGTGTTCATCGCGCTTCCTTTGCGCCGTCTTCCTTCGCTTCGCTTTGTTGTCGCTTTTCGGACAGGTGGTCGTTTCTCTCTCTCTCTGTCTCTCTCTCTCCTTGTTTTCTCGCTACTCTCGCGCCGCTCACTCGCTGTCTCGCTCACCGCGGACTGCGCATGCTCTCTCAGATTTGAAAAGCCACCTTTTCGAAACAAGAAAGATCGTTTTTACCGTCGGCAAAAGGCCAGCACTTTTTCCTTTGTTATTTTTTTTTGTCACTGCGCTATTTGCTCTCGAGTGGCCAACTTCCTTTCCAGCTTTCCAGCATTGGAAGCGAACTCCTCCACACGATGTATGCCGCATGCACATGGGGTTTTTACTGGGTATTTGCATATGGAGCGGCCGTTGTCTAATCACTGAGTAAACACCGAATTGTATCGGATCGTATCCGATCGGTTGTAGGTGTACTTAGGGTCGATTGCCTCAGTAAAAAAAAAGTTCCAGCTTTCCACGGAACTCGAAATCTCCTGAGCGGAATTCTTGAGAAAGTATGGGAAATGCATTTGTTTCTAACCAATTTCATACTTCTCCACTGAAAATGTTTGATTGTTATTTTTTGTTCTTGTTTCATTACTGCAAAGTATTGAAATCCATCAATCATGTTAAATGATCATTAACCAGGAACTTTGATCCCTGTGCATCGCTCAATTTCATTATTACACACTCTATATGAACTCTGCGATTTTTTAACAGCTGCAACCGAAGATCGTTGAACTATTATTTTTATAACTTTTACCTGAGCATTTCCTGAGCTCGGGTTTCCGCCTCCTAAACTCTTTTTTCTTCTGCTTTTTTTCTGTGTTTATTAGCCATGGGGCGGTCGTGTGATCTTTGCGAACGACACAACATTTGCATTTTTAGAGCTGCAAGAAATTAGCCAGAGGAAGTTGTAGTAAAAGGTAAATAAACTGGCTAAAAAAAAGACTACAAATAGTTGTCCATTAAGTGATTCAATTTCACTTCTAGCACTTTAAGAAAAAAGTGCAGATGCAAAGGGCTAACAAAAAAATCTCTCCAAGCTTCATGTACCTTTTTGTGCCGATTAAGTTCTCACAAATTTACGCCCCATTAGCTCCAAACCAAGTTTGTTCAACTTTGTGCGATCGAACGCGCCTGCATTTAGCCACCAATTTTAGGGTATTCTTTTTTTGGCAGGTTTAATGTGGCACGTAACGGTTTCGAGAACCAACCACCGCATTCGATTTCATCATATATGTATGTACATACATACATACATATGTTTGTAGAATGTTGTATAGGAATAAACGACAGCTGGGCTCCTGGAGCCAAAAGTGAAGCAGCAGGAAAAGCAGGAGCAACCCCTGTGTCCTGGCATATTGCACATGCGCGTCCTTTTTGCTGTTTGCTCAAAGATCAAATTACGATATAGCATGGCATGGTGTTGTGCGTGAGTGAGAGTGAGAGGGAGAGGAGTGGAGAGCGAGAGCGAGAGTATCGCTTCAGATACATTTGTATCTCCGCGCTCCGCTCCCGACTATTTCCTGTATATCCTGTGTGCACCCCAAAACATAAAGAAGGCAAAACCCAAAACACATTTCTTGACTTTCGTAAGTCACGCACACGGCGGCGGTTCCCTAATTAGCCCTCGCCTAGACTTCAGTCAATATACACACTATATACTATATATTACAGTACTATATATGTATGTATATATGTATGAGGCATGAAGTAGTAGGCATGTATGGCGATGCATAACCAACATGCCCATGGTTATGGGTCGTAAAGTGTGCACTTTATGGTCGGAATGGATCATCCACATAACGCTGCAACCAAATTTAATGGAAGTAAAATTAAGAGGGGCAGGGAATTGGAAGGGCACTTAAATTGCAGGATCAACTAGAAATGAGGGTAGTACTACCTAGATTTATAGCTGCGATACGATCGCAAAGACCAGCTTGCTAAGAATGTAGAGTACATGAAACTGTATAACTAGCCATTATTAATAACTACCATTAACTAGATTTGAATAAATAATGCATTAAATTATCATTAAAAGATCTAAGAAGCACTGAGTACGAATGTCGATGCATAAGTAAGTGCAAGCCAGTCATTACAACCAGTCATCAAATTAAACTTGAATGCCAGATTTCAATGCCTCAATTCAATCAATATAAATATCATTAAAACATGTCTGAGATGCATTTAAAACACCCAAAGTAAAAACCAGGCCAATTCCCACGAATGTAAACCCTTTGCCAAGGACGCGGCACTTAAAAAAGCGCCGAT